GTCCTTCCCTCCATGCACTCCTGCCCCCTGAGCTGTCTCCCTGTGCATAAGCAGCCCTTCTATTCTCCCATGATTGATCTCTCCAAGGAGTCTATCCACCTAATGTAAATGTTCAGCTCCTAGGCCTGCCTTGTTTGTGACCAGCCTACTCTTGACCCATCTTTTGGCTTCGTGCTTACCTGTCTCATGAGGCAGAGGTGGGTCAGTGGTTGAGTGCTTTTTTTTCCCCATTGTGATGTGGGTGAGAGTTTACAGAGCAAATGCATTTTCCATTCAACAATCTACACATTTTGTTTCATGATGTTGAGTGCAGCGCCCACAACATAACAGCTCTCTTCTGCTTCCTCCTTGTGGTTACTCTGTTCTTTCCTGTCATTCCTGCCTTCTGAACTTTCTACCTGTGCAAATACTGCCTCTCTGGTCTCCCATGGTTGACTCTTCTAAGGAGTACACCTCCCTAGTGTAAATGTTCACCTTGTAGCTCCTCAGTTGTCTGGCTGGAAGCCACGGGAGTGAGTTCAGTTCCAGGCCTGAAGGCTGACTAGGGGCCATATTCTCAGGGGTTTGACCAGTCTCCAGCAGACCAGTAAGCCTGGGCTTTGTCATGATTTTGAGTTTTGTTCCATATTTTCCCTGCAGTCTGTCCAGGATGTCCTATTTTGATCCCTTTCCGACTGGTTGACAGGGCCCCAGCTAGTTCTCCTGGTCTTGGGGCCATGTAGGCCGAGGTTTGCATGGTCCACTAGTCTCTTGGACTGATCGTTGTCATGTGTCTTTGATTTTCTTCATTCTTTGCTCTGGACGAGGAGAGACCCACTGCTGCATCTTAGTTCAGTGGTAGAGCTCTCGCCTTCCGCGCAGGGACTCGGAGGGACTCGGGTTCGGTTCCCAGCCCGTGGGCCTTATGCACAGCTACCGCCGGCTGTCAGAGAAGGCTTGCATGTTGCTGTGATGGGGGAGCTAGGAGGGCAGGCCTAGTGATCTGTTTCCAAAAATCAGGTTAAAAATGGTACGTATGTCGGGGGGTACTGGACGTGTTGGTCCTCCTCTTTGAAGCTCTCAAGGCGGGAGAACCATCAACAACAGCCCAGAGCTGATTCTAGGAGGTGGGGCGCAAACCTACCTCCACCCTCGTCTTTACCAATTCTGACACCAGCCGTCCCTCCCAAGGCACTCTCTGCTTCTCTGTTGGGTTTGATAATTGGTTGCAGTGGCCACACAGAACTCACAGACTGTCCTCACAGTTATGGGCTCTACTGGGGAGGGACAGTTCAGGTTCAGGAACGCTCAGGATACAGTTGTTTCGTCAGGACAGCCTTTTGGCTATGCCTGCAGGCAGGCCTCTCCCTCACGGGCCCTTGGTCCCTGATGGTGTAAATGGTTGGTGCTTGACTAACCAAAAGGTTGGAGGTTCAAACCCAATTAGCAGCATTGTGGAAGAAAGGCCTGGCAACCCATTTCCATTGAGATGAAGCCAAACCGATTGCTATGAGTCCATTCTGACCCATAGCAGCTCCATAGGACAAAATGGAACTGCCCCATAGGGTTTCCAAAGCTGTAATCCGTACAGACGCAGACTGCCACGTCTTTCTCCTGTCGAGCAGCTGGTGGGTTTGAGTTGCTGACTTTTCATTTGGCAGCCAAGCACTTAACCACCATGTCACCAGGGCTCCTTCTCTGTTAAGATTACAGTCAAGGAAACCTTACGGAGCTCAGTTCCACTCTAGTACCTGGGATCACCGTGAGTTGGATTGACTTGACAACAGGTTTGTTGCTTTTGTTTTACAGGGTGTTACTGACATAGGAAGCAGCATGTGCAAAGGCCCTGTGGTGGGGAGGGGGTGTGGTGTGTGTAAGGGACCAAGAGGCAGGCAGTCTGGTCCTGTGCTGTCTGCCTCCCTACCCCGCTGGCCCTGAAGGCTTCCTTTGCCTGCTGGCTGCGACTGTGGACACGGGACCCGGCGTGGAGCGTGGGGCGGGAACTGGTCCTGAGTGGTGTGGACAGAGGTGACCCGGCTTGGAGCGTGGGGCGGGAACCGGTCCCAAGTGGTGTGGACAGAGGTGACCCTGCGTGGGGCGGGAACCAGTCCCGAGTGGTGTGGACAGAGGTGACCCGGCGTGGGGCGGGAACCAGTCCCGAGTGGTGTGGACAGAGGTGACCCGG